TGTGTGTGTGTGTGTGTGTGTGTGTGTGTGTGTGTGTGTGTGTGTGTGTGTGTTTTAGAGAGAGGGAGAGACAGACAGAAAGAAAGAACAGAGTTGTACTGAATTATCATGTTTTCAACCAGTGAGCCCGAGTACACTCAAACAACCAACAAAAGATAGACCCATACAGATAKTAAAATGTGAAAATGGAATCTGTTGTGTGTCTTTCTGCACTAGAGCAGTGATTCMCAACCAGGGGTACGTGAGCATATTACAGGGGGTTCATGGAAAAATTTCCCAGGTGTGATGATTTCCACAATGCATAAAAATGCAAACAGGATCACAAAACTAACACAAAATGGAATCCAGTATAAAACGCAGAATCTCACAGAATTTGCTCATTTCRGGTATTTGATGTAYTWTGGATGCTGCTGCYTCCTGCACCTGCCATTACCTGGTTAATTTATTTAACTGTATTTTCACTTTCAAGGCAACATTTTTATCTTTGTTTAATTTGAGTTGAAAAAGCCTGACAATTAAACAGTCTAGGGAGTTAAATAAATAATTTTCATTTAATAATCAGTTGCAGAACATTATAGTTTTGGAGAATCATCATTACATTTGACAGAGGGGTACTAGTGTGATAACATGGTTCAGAGGGTACACAAGTCTAAAAAGGTTGGGAACCACTGATGTAGAGGCTGTGATATGCACAACCCAAACAAACTTGTTCTCTCCCATTACTTATAAACGTTGCATTAATCCCACACAGATTATTACCCAGCCCTGTGGGGTGACCTGACCTACACTGAACAGCCTGAAGCRGGCACTGATTAGTTCCTGGTACTGAATAAATATCAGCTACGCCTGCAGTGAAATGTAGCCCAAAGCTAATGAGGCGTAGCTGGCTTCTTCTGATGTTTTACCTTCTCTAAGGACACACAAATACAGGCTTCGGCCTTCTCCACGCAGCAGAGTGGACTCATGGACTTTTTACAATCAGTTACACTTGGGTTCACGAGTCATAGAATAATCTAATAATACTTTTATGAGGCAGTGCTGTTGTACGGTGGCTCTGAAGGTTCATGTTCACCCAGCAGCACTTTACATATACTTCAAACAATCACAAGGAAATCAGCTGCTTTCAGCTGTGATTCTTTCAGACTTTTAGTTATAAGAAGATTTAAACTCTTTGCCGGACCGGTTGGACTGTTATTTCCCCCAGGTCGTCTCATCTGTCACCATGGAGACAGATGCCAGAGGGCTGATGGGAAACTGGAGGGGAGCTAAAGTTCAAGCGAGCATCAAGTTTAGACACAGACGTCACTAAAGGGTGATTTTCTCCGCTCAGGATCACAGTTTCACACAGTTAATATTAGCTGAACACTGAACACTTTTTAAAGTTTATATGAGCTAATGATTCAAACATGCTTTAAGTTCTTTACATTTTGCTTATTTCTTATATTTTCTCCACAAGTTTTGAAGGTATTTCAAAGCTCTTCTTCAGTCTTTTGCTGCTTTTTCTCTTATTTTCAGTCCAGTCCTTGGAACTTGGACATAGGTTGTGCAGTGTGTGCTTTACAAAATTAGGAAATAGACCACTAAATTTTAATTAACTCTATCAACCTGTTACTTTTGGGACTTTTCATAAATTAAACTAAATAAAACGAAACAGTATCTGTGGCAGGCTAGTTTAAAAGTATCTAGCTAAGCTAAGTAGCTAGGTGGCCAGCTAACTAGTTACTCGCTAACAGCTTATTAGCTTGTTAGTGCTTTAGTTAGCATTTTTCATATAATYAGTTTCAGAAAATGAAACAAACATGATCCAGGTGAAGTAAAGGTTCTAGCTATCTGATAACATATTTGTTTTAAATTAGTCCTTTATTATATGTGTCAGTAAAGACTAGTTTAAGAGTCTTTATGCCTGAATTAATCATAGATTTAAGTTTGGTGAATTAGCAAAATAAATAAATAAAATAAATWCGAAACTTCCCTGGTGAGCACAGCTAAAACCATGAAGTTGTCTGTGATGACAACTTTTTATTCTTATATATCTTTTTACTTAATTCTTTATATAAACGACGTTGAAACAAACAAACAAAAAAAAAGTATCGTTATGTGCAATGGAGGTTTCGTGTTGACCAGGTTTTTGTTTTCAACAGCTGCTTGCCGCTCGGGTCGGGACTGACGCACATAACGTGATGACGTTTYCAACACACGCAGTGGCGTTCTCACATTGCTAGGCAACGTTTCACAACCAGCCAAAATAGCCTATAATAGATACTAAGACGTTGCTAGACAACGTTCGATTCCAGCAAAACCAGACTTTAATTTTTTTTGATAAAACTTTATTAAAAACAACAATCGACAATCTCAACAAAAAAACTCTGAATGTATATACAATCATACCTCCAAAATACAATGAATTCTGCATTTACATTTTAGGTGAAAAAGAACATTTTAAATTTGTTTTCTTGGTTCAAACAAACAAAGATAAGAAAAATAAAATGGCAAACATAGATAACAAAATAAAATTAAAATAAATAGAAAATGCATAATTACTCAATGAACTAAATCAAAGGGCTACGTTATCTGAGAGAGGTGATAAAACATTTTCTTTATTTATGGTTTTTCAACTTGTTGCAAGGTGAGTTTTAGCAAATGGACTTATTTTATAAATACAGACTATGATGGCTATATATCTTCACTTGTGAATATAGAAATTTAACATTAAAATATTATTAATTAGATATTCAACTTTTTCATTCTTAGGTACATATAAAACAGTTTGGGGAGAGAAAGAGTCTGTTTATGGATATTCTGATCAGGAGGTTATGAAGAGCCATAAAGTGTTTACTGGTTGACATAAATAGAGCAGATGTTCTGTTGTTCCAGGCTGATTACATGTCTGGCTTCTTATGTAAGACTAGAATTATTTTTGTTAATTTTCTTGAAACAYGAGGACAGTTTATGCCAGAATGAGACACTAGCACAGTTGTGTTATTCACAATATTTTTTGTGTTTTCTTGTGTTTGTAATCCAGGCGGTGACTGGAACCCTCGCTCTGTCAGTCTTCACCGCTGTTCTGGGATCTTTGACGTTTGGATACAACATCGGCGTCATCAATGCACCTCAGAAGGTAAAATACATCTTGACCTTAAAGAGTAATTATGTACAAAAGTAGCTACAAATACAGTATGTCATAAAAATGCCAAAAAAGTCACCTTGTAACAGGATACAAGAAAAAACATTTAAAAGTCATCTGAGGTAACCAAAGATATCCATAAAATTGTGTTGTTATTCATGTTACAAGGTTCAGCTCAGCAAAGGTTAAACTTTCCATAAATGTTGTTACCATGATTGGTAACAACATTTTTTGGCTAACTTCTTTAAGACAGCGACACCGTGAAGTGCTGTCATATTTAAAAAACAAACAGAGCAAAGACACTGTTGCATAATTGTGATGTTTTTAAAGTGTCTCGTTTAAAATAAAGGAGAAACACAAAATGATAAAAGGACATTAGCGTGTGCTAGAAGCCAAAAGCAAATGTTTTTTTTAAACCCTCAGAAACTGAAATAACTGCTGATAACACTTCAAAAGACAAGAAAGTCTGGTTCCTCTGAAACTGAATACAAAGGAACCCAGGAGTGGTTTAAAACATTTGCACGGCACTGTACAGCACATACTTTATATATAGATGAAGGCACATAAATCTTAACGGACTGAACTGCTTTAGATGTAAACGCTGCTGCTCGTATTGCAGCAACACTTTGTGTTCCAGCTCTTTGCAAAGCGTCTCAGTTCCTCAGAGACACCGTCACCAACACCAGACTGAGCTCTGTTTACTGCAAACAAACAGACACCAAAAATAAAGCCTCTGTGGTGATTCCACATCTTTCAGTTCTGTTTATTAATTTGACCTGAAAATATGTCTTTACTCAGATCATCGAGGCAGACTACAATGCAACATGGGTGCATCGGTACGGAGAACCCATCCCCACAGGGACCCTGACCTCCCTCTGGTCGCTGTCTGTAGCCATCTTCTCCATCGGGGGCATGTTCTCCTCCTTCTGTGTGGGTTTTATCTCCGAGTGGTTGGGACGGTAAGAGAACACAAGATGTTGCACTCGTGACTGAAAGGGGACATGTCACGTAAAATTCTCACATCATTTGAGACAAAATTGCAAAATCTGCATTTCGTCTTTTCTGCTAAAAACATAGAGTGATTTTGTAGCTAATGCATATTGCTCATAAACAAACAAAAGTGCTTGATCTTATTTATATTGCTAATATAACAAGAGAAATCCATTGAAAGGACTTTCAATGGAAAGAAAACTTTATTTGAGTACATATGAAAGACAAAAGGGTTTTTTTCCCCAGAAAACTGAGACTCAAACAGAACAGATAAAGCTGGCAGTGTTGGCAGCGTCATCGTCCTGCGACCACTACTGCTAGCTTTGGTACTGCGGCTAACGCTGCTGAAGATGGCATTTAAAATTTAAATTCAAAACGTGTTCATTGAAAACATTATGGATGGTACTTGTGATGCAGCATCTCGGACACTGCAAGTTTTAAGTCTTGTAGGGAAGGGTTAGCAGCAGTGTTAGCAGCGTTAACAGTGTTAGCGGCGTTAGCAGTGTTACCAGTGTTAGCAGTGTTAGCAGAATTAGCAGTGTTAGCAGTGTTAGCAGCATTAGCAGTGTTAGCAGTGTTAGCAGCATTAGCAGTGTTAGCAACATTAGCAGCATTAGCAGCATTAGCAGGATTAGCAGTGTTAGCAGCATTAGGAGTGTTAGCAGCATATACTATTTGAACTGGAATCTGTTATTTGAAACACCTCTACCTCGATATTGATCTGGATTCTACCTCACTCTATTTCTACTTTATTTTATTTTGTTTTATTTTTTACTTTATATTTCTTGTGTGTGCTTTTATATGCCTAAATGACTTTACTTTGTTTATTTTTAGTATTTTGAACTCTACATTGCTTTATAGTTTGTCAAGCTGTTTATGTTGTGTGCTAATATGCATCGTAATTTCATTCTACAGTGCATCTCTGATGTTATGTTGAATGACAATAAAATAATCTGAATCTGAATTAGCAGTGTTAGCAGTGTTAGCAGTGTTAGAAGTGTTAGCAGTGTTAGAAGTGTTAGCAGTGTTAGCAGTGTTATCAGTGCTAACACTGCAGCATTAGAAGTGTTAGCAGTGTTAGCAGCATTAGCAGTGTTATCAATGCTAACACTGCAGCGTTAGAAGTGTTAGCAGTGTTAGCAGCATTAGCAGTGTTATCAGTGTTAGCAGCGTTAGTAGTGTTAGCAGCATTAGTATTGTTAGCAGCGTTAGTAGTGTTAGCAGCATTAGTATTGTTAGCAGCGTTAGTAGTGTTAGCAGCGTTAGAAGTGTTAGCAGCGTTAGAAGTGTTAGCAGCATTAGAAGTGTTATCAGTGTTAGCAGTGTTATCAGTGTTAGTAGTGTTAGCAGCGTTAGAAGTGTTATCAGTGTTAGCAGCATTAGCAGTGTTATCAGTGTTAGCAGTGTTATCAGTGTTAGTAGTGTTAGCAGCGTTAGTAGTGTTAGCAGCGTTAGAAGTGTTAGCAGTGTTAGAAGTGTTAGCAGCATTTGAAGTGTTAGCAGTGTTAGCAGCATTAGCAGTGTTATCAGTGTTAGCAGTGTTATCAGTGTTAGCAGCATTAGTATTGTTATCAGTGTTAGCAGCATTAGCAGTGTTATCAGTGTTAGCAGCGTTAGTAGTGTTAGCAGCTTTAGAAGTGTTAGCAGCGTTAGAAGTTTTAGCAGCGTTAGAAGTGTTAGCAGCGTTAGTAGTGTTAGCAGTGTTATCAGTGTTAGCATCATTARTAGTGGTAGCAGYATTAGTATTGTTAGCAGTGTTAGCAATGTTAGCAGTTGCTGTTGAGATAATTAATATACATTACAATTTGATTCAAATTGTGCAAAAATTCCTCTAAATTTTGCCACGCTACAATGGTTTGCTTGGCTTTGTGTGATAAAATATTGACGACAGAATAAATCTAAATTCGATTGGATCGGTTTCCTCCCCTATCACAGTCTTTGCAGACATTAACTGGAGCTTGTAGCACACATGGTGATTCAGGGTCCAGCAGGGTGGTGTGAAGTGTAGGTGGGGGGTGGTCAGGTCACATTCAGGAAAAATGAACTTCCTGAGAGGGGCAGCTGCTGCTGGTGCTGCTGGGTAATAACTCTGCTGTGACCTGTGAGGTCAGAGAGCACATTCTGCCCAAGCCTCTGTAGACCCTCTCTTTAACAAGACACCAGGTTTAGTTAGTGAAATAAACTGAGTCACTAAAATACAAGTTTCCACTAATAATAACTATTCCATAAATGTAAATAGGTTTAAGACAAATGTATCTAAATGTTAGCTAAAGTTGTTAGCTGCGACGGCTATCTTAAATCGATCAACACTTAACATTGATTAGTTCAAGATGTTCGTCCAGAGAGGGTTCCATTCAAATTTGACCAGTGGATTGAGATATTTTACTAACAGACACGCAGAGGAGTGATCATTCAGTGAACCCAAAGAATCATCTTTTCATTGTTTCCTTTTTTGTGTCTGGAAAGTTACAGAACCTAAAGTTCAAACAATAAATGCATTTTAAAAAATGAATAAATAGGGTACACTGAGGAAAATGTCTCATTTTCTCATCTWACTGATTCCTTATTCACTATCATCACTGTGGATGTGTTCAGAGTCCTTTCCTACTTGTTGTGAAGTTCTCCACACAGTGACTTTGTAAATTTGTAGTGCTGTTGAATGTTATATTTTGATTTTAAAGAGAAATTCCAGCCATTTTTAGGTAAAGTTCTGTAGAAAATCCTATGTAGAGCTATTATTCTACCTGTCCTAAAACACATTACTTTCTTTTTCTTTTACACAAAAAACAAACATTCACAAATATTTTCCTTAAGTCTCGGTCCTGATTCGTCTAACATTTGAATAAGCTGACTCTGTTTGACACTGCCCTCTAGAGGATAAAATAAATAAAACATACACATCTATCTATCTATCACCTTTATGTGCTCTTCACACAGACATTATGCATCCAAATGAAGTGAACTTAATTTCAGCTGCTCTGTGTTTCTCTCACCAGGAGGAAAGCGATGCTTGCAAACAACTTTTTGGCCTTTGTTGCTGGAAGTCTGATGGGAATGTCTAAGCTGTGTCGCTCCTTTGAAATGATGATCATGGGGCGCTTCGTCATTGGTGCTTACTGCGGTGAGACACCGTTCACTCAGTTATTTTGTCTTATAATGTGCTCATTYATCCTTCAGCTGTTCACTCTTTCATCTCCTCTGTCCTTACTCTAAGTCTATGTCTTCTCTAACTGCATCCACGTACCAATACTGTCCTCAATCTGGTCTCTGATGATCTAATTTTTAATCTACCTGGTCACTTCCATGGAAAAACTAGGCATCTTCAGYTCTGCCCCTTCCTGTTCTATCACCTGTCTTTTTGTCCATGCCWCTGCCTCTCAACCATTCAACATTTCTGTTCTCACTGCTCTCAGACCCATAAAGTTCGCCTAAAGATAATACTCAACTCAAGTATCAAGTATTGTTTTTGTCTGATAGTTTTTAGCTGTCCTGTCTCATGCCAGCTTTCTGCCTTTAATTCTTCTGCTCAGGGCTGGCGTCTGGTTTAACGCCGATGTACGTGGGTGAGATCGCACCTACGAGTCTTCGGGGCGCTCTTGGGACGCTGCACCAACTGGCTATAGTCACCGGCATCCTCATAGCACAGGTACTAAATTACGTTCGTTGGTCATGCTTGCAAAAATRTCAGACGAATTGAAGGAAACTCTCTGAAAGTATCAGTCAAATGAACATCTTTGAGAGTTTTTGGAGTCAGCACAAWTCAAGATGGCTGCCACAGCCAACAGAGTCAGTTTTTACATAACTTTAAACAGCAGTTTGGTTTAGTAGTGGCTCAGCATTATTTCCACTATTTTCATCCTCTGCTTGTATAGTAATTTTCTTTTAATTCATTGGATTGTTTTTTKGGTCAGATTCTGGGTCTGGAGTCGTTGCTGGGCAGTGAAGACTTGTGGCCGGTTCTGCTGGGTTTAACTGTTGTTCCGACCGTTCTTCAGATGGGTCTGCTTCCCTTCTGCCCAGAGAGCCCTCGATTCCTCTACATCATCCGGTGTCAGGAGCACCAAGCCAAGAGAGGTGAGGCTGAGGTGCTCCCTCGTGACTCCGGTTCTAGACYATCATTGTCAATTCTTTTTCGAGGCATATCTCACTGAGCTGCGACCATTGGGGACAAATTGCAAACAATATTTGTTAGGGAGTTAAACCCAAATATATACCAGCATTATTGTCAGGTTTAGAGTTAGTGTTTTAAACATCATAGCAGTAATAAAATATAGGACTGATAGGACATCCAGGGCTGTGTCCAAATTCAGGGACTGCATTCTTCGAAAACTGTCCAAATTCAAAGACTTCTCTAACTACGGCACTCAAATGCATTCTCCTTTCCCCCGATTCGATGGACAGGTCCAGTGTATCCTTATAAGCCCTCAGATGTGTGCATTGCAGGCAGACTTCCGGTCTTCTCAGTCGATCAAGGACCCAGCCTATGTTGACTGGATAGGCTGAGTCCTTCGAAGGATGCARCCCCTAWATTTGGACACAGCCCAGGTTGCASGGCAGTCTAYTTAAACAACTTGCTAAACTGGATAAAAAGTACGATCTAGTCCAGGAATAGTCAACTCTGCTCCTTGAGGGACACAGCCCTGCACGTTCTRCTTGTTTCTCTGCTCCAACACACCTGATTTGAATGAATGAATAGATGATTTTCAGGATTCTGCAGAACTTGGAAGAGGTAATTCACTGACTGAATCAGGTGTGTTAGAGAAGGGAAAAAAGTAAAACATGCAGGGCTGCGGACGTCGAGGACTAACATTGACTATCACTGATCTGGTCTATGCTGTGCACAATCTACTCTACTTATTAGAACATGTGTAGCAGGATGTAGCTACACGCTTAGAAGATTACACCTAGTTGGTACCGTTCTACTGCCTTTGGAATCACCTCTAAGTGAGATTGTTTAAAGGGGCAATACTATGTGTTTCTCAGGCAYATATTTAAATACTATACAATAATAAAGTATCTCTGTCACCTTTAGTTGTTATTAAAATGCTGTTTTGATGTTTAAATAGAAAATAAACTTATCTTCTCATCACTTCCTCTTCTAAACGCCTTGAAATTGACCTCTGTCTCTTTAAGAACCACCTTCTGCTTCCGTAAGTTTAAGTCGGGGGGAGGGGGGGTGTTTCGCGTGTGCTCTAGTT